CTCGTCAAGTCCTTCAATTCCACGAAAAAGTCGGACAGCGAGATCGTTTCTTTCTTAAGCAGCCTCCGAAGGGGCGCAGCAATTATCGTGAAATGTCTTACAAACTTTCGATAATAATTGGCTAGCCCAAGGAACGACCGCAACTCAGTCAAAGTGCGGGGGTTAGGCCAATCGCGGATTGCCACAACTTTCGTGTCATCCGGTTTGATTCCATCACCATCAAGTATATGCCCTAAATATAAAACCTCACGCTTAGCCCATTCATACTTCTTTGGGTTTAGTTTCAACTTTGCCTCACGTAATTTATTTAGCACAAGTCGAAGGTGCTCATAATGTTCTTTCAAATCTTTACTAAAAACCAAAATATCATCCAAATAAACAATGACACATTTGTCAAGCCACTCACGAAAGAGTTCGTTCATAGTTCTTTGGAAAGTTGCAGGGGCATTCGTAAGACCAAAGGGCAACACAATGAACTCATAGTGCCCATACCTTGTTCTAAAGGCAGTCTTGTATTGGTCTTCTGGCTCTACCTCAATCTGATGGTAGCCAGATTTCAAATCAATTTGCGTGAAGTATTCGCAACCCTCCACACGATCCAGCAGATCATCTATCCGCGGTAACGGTTCGGCGTTCTTTACAGTTATTTCATTCAACTTCCTATAATTTATGCACATGCGTACCCCGCCATCCTTTTTAGGCACAAACAACACAGGCGCACCATAGGGTGAGGAGCTAGGCCTTATCCATCCTTTTTCCAGCAATTCATCAATCTGGGATCGCAGTTCATCCAACTCTTTAGGTGGCATTCGGTAGATGGCCCCCTTAGGAATCGAACTTCCTGGAATAATGTCTATGTGATGCTTAATGGGTCTCTCAACTACACCGCTTGGGGCCTCTGCCACATCTGCGAACTCCTTCAGAAGTTTCTCAATTTCTGGGGACTTAGGCTCTTCCTTAACTTCACCCTCTTTTACTGGGCGCACATATGCCACAAAGACTTGGTCATACAAGTATTTCCTGACATGGCGAGCGAATGCTGGGGCACTCATACAGCAATGAGCTAAGCTGCTCTCCTTGCCTGATTCATGGAATAGGCGGATTTTCTTCTTTCCACCCTGCGAACTAGGGAGCCAACACTCATGATCCCTTAACTTTATCCATCTGCAGCTTCACCCCAATCCATACCTAACAGAATGTCAAAAGGAAGATTATCTTCCACCAAGAGAGTCAGAGAGTGGAGAACGCGTTCCACCTTCCCCTCTGCTTCGAGCCGGAAGTATATCTTAACCCCTTCAACATATCTATCCATTACAGTCAATGTACTATTAGCTAATTTACTCACTACTGGCTCAGCCAATTGCTTTACCTTAAGCCCGAGACGCAACTTTTGCAATCCTTTCTTACTGATATAGCTGCGAGTTGATCCACTATCAATCATACCTCCAACTCTTACTTTATTCATTTCTAGATCTGCAATTATTAACTGTCCTTTTCGTTTCTTCATTTCAGTCCAGGCTTGGCGACGAGCAGCCAACTCATCACCCATGTCAGCGAGGGATCCACCTAGAGAGGTACGCACACTACCTCTGGACAGTGTACTAGGTGGGGACTGCCTACCTCTTCAATTTATGCCAGTGGAACCTTCGGATGGGAGGATGTTTTTTTTTCTAAATCCGAAGTTCCAGTAGAGGCAACTAAAACCCCTACTGGTTGTTCCCTTTTGGTTGTTTGTAGTCGGGGCAGAAGGGAACGATGTGGTTGGGGTCACCACACTTGAGGCATTGATCAGCAACCTTTCTATCTTGCCAAACTTTTTCTGTAATTCCCAACTTCTTCCAAGGCTCCCCTTCGGGCAAACCTGGATGGGGTGGATATGGTTTTGTCCCATGTACCATACCACGCGCCGTTTCCTCTTCCCCAGGTAGAATACGAACCAAGGCCACCTTGCGAGGGACCATTGCCCCTTCCACCCACGTAGTAGCAACCTTCGTCACCACCCCTCTGGGTGCCCGGTCCTCTTCCACCACGTCCGCGGCCTCCTCTTCCTCGGCCACGTCCTCTTCCTTATCGCCCTCCCCCCCGGGCTACAACAGCCGCGTAGTCCCCCTCCTGAACTACCGTGCTGTTGGGTCCTCCCTCCAGACCATAATCTATTTGGTCGTAGGAGAGAGTTTCAACACCTCCTTCTTCAAAAGTTAGAAGTAGGTTGTCTTTCCCAGGTATGTTTCTTGAGATAGTGCGGTTCTACCACTTTTTACCCGCTTGCAGATCCTTCCAGTAATGGCAGTAATTTGCTTCAGCCAAGAAGCCAGCGTGATCTATAGCGATCTTGTTGAACTTTTCGTAGGTCATCCCCTCTTCCTTAGTGCGGGGATAAAGCTGAGTACGGAGGGGGTCAGGCAATGCTCTTGCGAAGTTATTGAGGATTTGAGTAGGAGTCGGTCCATGTTCAGCGCATTGCAAGAGTTCATCCATCGTTGCTTTAAGTGCAGACACACTCTTCCATTTCCGATCCGCAATATTTAAAATTAGCATTTCAGTTCGGCGAGCCAGATTCTTATCTTCAAATCGTTCTCTTACTGCCTTAAAGAAATCTTCAATTCTTGTTTTTTGTGAATATTCGATCATGGTTTGGCAGTTTGCTTCTTTTTGCAACGAAATGCGAAGCTCATCCCATCGCCGGCCATGGACGATGTGGCCATCAGAACTCTATCCCAATACGGAATGCACTAACCGTACACATAGGACTCTACTGCTGCAATCCAATGTAAGACACTTTCCTCTCTCTTGTCGGTGTAAGTCCACGACACCTTAACTTTAATTTTCCTTACATCAGTGTCTTTGTCTTCCCGCAACACTCCTTTTCCTTTCTTATCACCATCGCCCCCATCTCCGTCTCCATCTCCATCTCCATCTCCTCCTCCTCCGCCGCTACCACAAACTATTTTCTCAATCATGGCCGGAGTAAAGGTCTGGGTGATGTGATTGTCTAATTTCTGAATGTGTAACTGTATGTGCTGATCAACATCCTTCGCGGACTTCTATAGAAAGGTGTTCCAGACTCCCTCAAACTCGTACTGGTGGGTCTCAACTTTCTGCAAAGTCCTGTTCATTGCTTCTAACTCTTGCTTCGTATGTAGGACTGTTTCTGTTAAGAGGGCTAGTTTTTCTTCTATAGCAGCTTGCTTATCTTTTTGATCCCGCAATTCTCTTTGTAGCCTTGCCCCCTCGATTTGCAGTCTTTTCCTTTCATCCAGTTCTTGCCGCTTTGCTGCTAACATTTTCATATGTTCCTCTAGCAAGAGTTCCTTTTCCCTTTGATCCTTAATGGATGTCAGTTTTGCAACCAACGTTTCTCTTTCCTCCTTTGTCTCTTCAATTCGGTCGCCGGAATAGGCATATTGGTCATACCAATCCATCGGCTTAACCTGGAGTTCCCCACGTGTCTGGCTAGTCTCACCCCTTTCCGTTTGCCGCCTGACGAGTCTGTCTCCTTCATCATCGGGCTCTTCTTCTTCTTCAATAGTCTGCATTTCTTCTTTTAATTCCCTTTTTAACTTTTTTCTCATTTCTTTCTTCATTCTCTCTTCTTCCATCTGCACTTTCTTCCTTACTTCTTCTTCTTTCTCTTTTTTTCATTCTCTCTTCTTCCATCTGCACTTTCTTCCTTACTTCTTCTTCTTTCTGTTTCTTTCTTTCTTCTTTCTCTTTTTTCTATTCTGCCTGGCGGCGTTCCACTTCAGCCTGTTTTGCAGGCGTGGGCCCTGGCTTCACAGCACCAGATCTCATCATCATTCGGGAGGTACAGATTCTCCCGAAACCCAGGGGAAAGAAGACTCTGAAGAGGGGCCCCAACAAGACAGAAAGGGCCAGTAATCATTGCATGGGATAGTCATCCATGGTGGATGACAGCACAGGTGATCCTCCGTCGGTCCACCAGGAGTCTACCCCCAAGGTACTACTGAACTTTGCCTGACGTGGATGGGATGCTGTTTTTTTTTTTTTTTTTTCAAACTCTGGGAATTGCTGCTCCAACAATAACGAATTTCAGACAATAAAGAACTCAATAGAACTTTCCTTTTTTTTTTTTTACACGCTGCCTATTTTTCACTTCGTTAGAATTTTTCTTTCTTCCTGATCTGGCTGTTTCTTTTTGTATTAACCTTCACCGTTTGTCCCCTGCGTAGGGAGAAGTTGGAGTCTAAACTGTGTCAGATGCCTGGGCTGTACTTCGGTCACACAAACTATCGCTGCCCATATGATTTTGCCTTATGTCATGTTTGCACCCTGACGTGGCAATCAGCCACTACCAACCAGCGCTCTCCTACCTTACTACCACCTCCTACAAATGTCAAACCAGAGGGGTAGAAAGAGGACCAGACAGGACTCTGACCACCTTTAACACTAATGTGACCAGACACTTGTATCCTGACGTTCTGACCAGACCTCGGGTAGACCAGAGAGCAGCAGCAGCGACCACCAGAGAGGAGGAGAAGTAGAGGTTCAACACACACACACTCATGCAGCCAGGTCAGGCAGGGGATGAAGGGTTTTTGCTTTCTTTTGCAGATGTCGTCGATGAAGACTCCTCGTCGCTCCGCACTCCAATGCTCCACGCAAGGTCAAAGTGAGTATATGGTTCCTGACGATAGGCTTGCAGGCAGATGTTAGTAGCAGCGAGACCACAAAGATTCGGTGGAGGCCAGTCAGGCGGATTTTCTACAGAATCTCCTACAGTCCCCTTGCCAAGTTCATCCTCGGATAGCCCCTCGCCATCATCCCTCCTGTTTTGTGTTTGCCGCGTTGCAGAAAGGTCTGCAGTCGAAGAGCGTTGCAGGCGTGGTAAGGATGCTTGGGGCGGCAAAAGACGGGGACGAGATGTTGGGGAGGGCCGTGGTGGGGAGAATGAACGGGTTCTTCTTCGTCCAAGAACAGAGATGGAGRAAAGGGGAGTAAGCTGAGGTTGGGAAGTAGGTCGAAGTCGGCGTCTAGGACGGCGGAGTAGGCTTTCTGCAGGGGCAGAACATGATGACGGAGTCTGTGTGGACGAAGTGGTTTGTGGATTAGGAAGAGGGGTAACGGATGAAGACAAAACCAAGGGAGGTAGGAGTGGTGAAGACAGGGGTGGTAGAATTGTCGGAAGGTGGGTAACAGACGGCGATAAAACCAGGGGAAATATAGGTGGTGAAGACGGGGGGGATGAAGTCAGGGGTGGTGAAGTGGCTGAAGCAGAGACAAGGGGGGGCAGTCGTAGGTGAGACCCGAAGAGGGTACTCTGTAGGTGGTAATGCAGGCATGGCCACGGATGCCATGAAGGAACGCACCGAGACCAAAGGCGACAAAGCAACTGCGGTGGTCACGGATGCCATGGAGGAACACACCGAGACCAAGGGCGACACAACAGCCGCGGTGGCACCGGATGCCATGGAGGAACACACCGAGACCAAGGGCGACACAGCAGCTGCGGGTCGAGTTGCTCCCGCGGAATCAATCGTAGAAGCAACCAAGGTCGATGAGGAAGAGGCCGCGAACCGAAAAGGAGCAGCCAGGGTCACAAACGGCAGGGAAGGGGTTACTAAGACTGATGAGGACGCAGGTGCGGTAGACGCAAGTAATGAAGAAGAGGTTGTGATAGGTGTGGCAGGCGCCGATAATGAAGAAGGGGKTGTGACAGGCGTAGTCCGAGGACAGTGTGTGGATACCCGAGAAAGCGGGTGATGAATAGACCATCGAAGCATGCTGCGGAACCAACTGGAGAGGTGGGTCACGTGCGCAGGGTACCTGTGTTGACGTTTACGGATATAGGAAGTCCATCCTTTCGCAAGCGTTGTTGGAGAGTGCCCGCGAAAAAGCATGCGGCGTGTGAGCATCGCTGCTGCAGTTTTGAAATCATACCAGTTGTTGCAGACATACTCAAACCTAGTAAGCTGGCCTGTAAACACTCCCGCTGGCTGGTGTGCAGGGACGTTAGACGTAGCACTAGGATAACGAATAACAGGGAAATTCCATTCAGCTGCTTTGTCAAAGACACTCATACGCAGGGAACCGTCAGGGCGGACTTGGAGGCGTGCACCTAAGAATGTGCAAGAGCCATCAGGCGCTGTGGTCTCCTTCCATTTGAGGCCATAGTGTTTTGACGGTGGTGGCAGATGTCCCCATGAGAGAACATCATCGATCAAGCGGTATGTGAATGGATACCGTTGAGCTGCTCGAAGATCACACTGCTGGAGGTCATCAACAAATCGAGCCTCATCCCAATACAATGTCAAATTAGCTATCTCCGGACCAGAATTAGTCCCCATCGGGATGCCAATCAATTGATGTCGCAAGGTGCCGTCCGCTGCATAAAGATACGTGTTTGTCACAATGAAATGGAGATGCTCAAGATTTTGGGAAGCGATCAAGGTGTTTGGTCTGGTATCAACCGTCCACTCCCCTTGACGGGGCCCTTTAACAATCATGTTAAGTATATATATATATATATAGTCATATATATATATATATATATATATATATATATATCGTCACAAACAGAACTGCCCGGTAAAACCGTAGGCAGAGAGAGAGAAGAGGACAACAAACGAGGGGCTGTGACAAACTGTTTCGTCGGAG